AAAAAAAAAAAACGGCCAGAGACTCTTCGACCCCACCTGGACCCTCCGGAACCTACCGTGCTTCCTCTATGATACCGACACAAACCGAAGGGGTTTAGGGTTTATGTGGCTTATAGGGCTTATAGGGTTTGTAGGGTTTAGAAGGTTCAGGGCTTAGGGTTGGGTTTCGGATTGGGAGTCTTACCTATAGTCTCCATTGTAGTTCCTTTTTGGGGATACCTTATATAGAACCCTTAATATATAATTGGTTAAACCAAAAAAAGGAACTACAATGGAACCCTAAACCCTAAACCCCTAAACCCTAAACCCTAAAACTGTAGGTAGACCCAAAACTCTGAAGTCTCACAGAGGGCGCAGTCAAGCGCCAAGCTCTCGGACTTCAAACCCTCAAGCAAAGCGCGGGAAAATCTAGAGCCATAAATCCTAGGACCCTAAACACGCTTGCTTGGGCGTCACTCCTTAGTTGCAAACCTTACCGTATAAAACCCGAACCTCTAAACAGCCCTAAAACCTCAAGACGGCCCTAACCTCGTCCAGATCATCATTCCCGACACGCCACGCGTGATCCTCATAGCCCGAAGATGGCTTTAGGTCCAGGGTTTGGGCTTGGGGTTCGGGGTTGTTGGGGTGTTCTATCTCTAAGGGCCTTATGAGTTTGAATGGGTTTTGGGGGGTGCCGTATAGTATGGGATTTACTGACACATGGCCAATTACTCCGACCTCCACATTAGGGTCTAGGTTTTGTGGTCTATGGTTTAGGTCTAGAGTCTAGAATTTACAGTTCTGGAGGGAGTTGCTGGGTTTTCCGCGATTAGCTCGTTGCGGTTTGGGTTTATGCAGGTGTGCTGGCAGAAGTCCTTATCGGATGCCTAATTCTCGAAACCCTGAAAAAACCCTCAGCCCTAAGCTACTAAAACCCAAAGGGTAGGAGCCCCAACACGGTCCAAGGTATCTTCATGAAGTCAAACTTTTGCAGTGTCTCAGAAAGTGTAGACGCCAGCTTCCACAGGCCTGTAGGGTTGCGGTTCAGGGTTGCAAGAAGAGAGGCTGGAATATGTATTTAACCACGACCGATGTCTGTGTACGGCGGTGACTGAAAGGACCGGCTTTCGATACAGTAAACTTCATCCCTTCCTTATAACTGCGTCATGCGAAGCGACAGCAACATGCAACCTGCTTAAAATTCTCGGCAGGGGCCACCCTCAACTATGATTCAATTTTGTGGGCCCTGATCCACATCAAAGGACCCTGTTTCAGACGACCCCTCGACAAGGTTCTACCTTCTACAAGCCGGAACCACACTGTACCTCGTGGGGGGCTTGAAGGCCATGTGCAAAGCCAGGCTGTCGGGCTCTGTAGTGGTTGGTGTAGAACATTTCAGGCATGTTATGTCTAATCTCGAAACCTCCTGGGAAGTTTTCAAAGGCAAGACGACCAACGTGGCTCAATATTTAGGATTTCGGGCTACAGAAATTACGGAATATACGTTTATCTCTGTCAGGCTCCCCAGTTGACAAGCCGCAGGGCACACTCCGAGCAAAAGAACCGCTGATGTCCTGAAGAGATCCGCAAACCTTACGTCTAAACCGGAGTCTGAAATCCAAACCCCTGCACCCTAAACCCAACCCTGAACAGTAATTAAAGAGCTTTTGGTACATCCTGCTGGGATGCGCGCCTCCAGCCGAAGCGATAAAGTGCGCGCAACTGGCACAGGCCTCATGCTACGAGGGTTATTGGACCTTGAGCACTCTGGAAGGTTCAGGGTCTTAAAGGGCTCAATGATGGGCTCTGTAAGACTTTTTAATGTTTTACCAGGGTTAGATACCGAATCTGTGACGTTGCAGGACTTTGGGCTTCGGGACTTTGTCGTCGACGGTGTGGAGGCTCAATATCATGTGTTCAAGTTCGGTAACTTTACAACCCCTTTTAAAGAGTTGACAAACCGATATGGCTTGGAAGAGCTGACCTCCATCGCATAAAGGGTGTTAGGTTAATCGCTGAGTTTGTCGAAAGACTTATTCGGATCCTTTCCAGGGTATGGTGCATATATACACATGTATTCTCAGGAATCTCCGGTCCCTCCACCGACTCTGGCATTGTATCACTGTCTTAAAGCCGGAAACCATAACAACAAACGGTAAAGCCCGAATCCTATACACCGAGACGCACAGTCCGAGATCGCACATCCTGATCATATACTGCACCCCCAAACAACAAGTAGTAGCACTCGCAGGGCGTAGCTTCTTCTGATTCCATATGCAGCACTGTACTGCAACATATCAGCTCACTGCTTCACAATGGTGAACCATTCAGAAGTCCAGCACTTGGAAGCGAAAACCCGACATAATGAAAACCAGGAATTCTGGACTCTACCTATAGTTTCCATTGTAGTTCTTTTTTTTGGTTTAACCAATTACTTATTAAGGACTTTATAAGGCATCCCCAAACAGGAACTACAATGGAGACTACAGGTAGGTCTACACTTTGCACCGCTGCCCTGAATTTAAGCCCTAACCCCTCCACCCTGAGCCCAATTCCTGAGGTCTAAACCCCGAAACCCAATGCGCTTCATGGGGATGGCTACTGAACCCGAAACATTGCAGTGCAGGCGGAGAAACATCTTTGATCAACAAAAACATATCTCTATAAGCAACTGTGCAACCTTGAAGCCAGATTTGCTCAAATGTCAGAAACAGAAACCACAACCTCAGCACGCCGAAGCCGACATCGTCATAAAACCGGAAAAATAGACCTTAAGCTCATGCGAAGACCCGCTGCCCAAAGCTTCCCTAGCAAAGGATCGAACACCACAGCATCCTACTGAAACCGATCCCTTGCAGGCAGTGCAGAAACCGAGTCTTTGCAACCGTTTACTTCAGGGCTAACGTTAACAGTTGGCGTGCAAGGTTCAGGCTTTAGGTTGATTGATCCATAAATCTAAACTAGTGACAAAACCCTACGCACACCCCCATGCAGAGCTTCCCACCCAGGCTTGCTAGAAGCCGGCACGCAAAGGATCCGCCTCGCCGTACTTCTGGCTAGATGAGGGTTTGAGGCTTCAAGATTAGAGCTTGTAGGTGTGGGATAAGGATGTTTAAGATTCAACTTTCAGTTTCCGGCGTTCGAAGTCCGTCTTGGGCATGTCGGACCCATGTGTTAAGACATCGTAGGAATAGGGGGTTTCAGGTGGCTTGCTTTTTGAGGGGCATGCCAGTTTCAGAAGGGGGAACAAACTCCGCGTGGAGGTTAAAGGATTTCGACCAACACCCCGCGCATATGGCACATCAAGTGAGGTAGGGTTGATAGGGCTTACGGTGCAGGGGTGTGCATTGCATGATTGACGATCTATGCCGAATCTATGCTTTCTAGTGATGTGGTTGCTAAAGAAATCATGGCATCGATGTGCGCAAACATTCGTCGAGGGTGTGCTGAGAGGTTTCCTCTCGAAGGGCATTTCGGGGCGTGTGATACTAAACCCTAAAGACTAACCCTGTTCTGTTGGGACAGTTACCCGGGTTTAGGGGTTTAGGGGCCTAAGGCTTGGGGGGTTTAGGGGTTTAGGGCTAAAGTTGAGGGGTTTAGCGCTTAGGGGTTTAGGGGTTGAGGGGTTTAGGGTTTGAGGTTTAGGGTTTAGGGCTGCCTTGCAGGTGGCACACCTCAAGTCATGAGGAAGACCCAAATGCAGAAACTTCGTTTGCACCTTGTCGGGACTGAGATGTATGACTTTGCTCAGACGAGCAGTGGCAGCAAAGGCCGTGCAGTGGAACCGCTTTGCAGCTTCATAGTTTGCAGGCAAAACCCTAAACCCTAAACCGCAGTGCATTTCCGATCCAATCCCGGTGCTGCTGGGAGAGATAGGATGGATGTAGCGGTGATTCAGACGAAGCTCCGCCTTGCCCCCAAAGGACGCAGTAAAGGGTGCCGCCTGTGCATGGGTAGCACCCAAAGGATGCCGTAACACCACCCTCCTGACCCGGCCCCCTGGCCGAGACACTCCTCCATGTCGTGTTCTGCACACTGCGGTTCAACATGTAGCCACGTCTCGACAGTTTCGAGAAGCTGGACCATTATTATTAAATATTACTAATTATTATGAATTATTATTTATTATTATTCATTATTATGTATTATTATTAGTCACGTGGGGATGCCTCAGAGCAGGTTCGCAAAGCCTCGAACAGTTTCAACATCGACTCCACCACGTCGGCGGTGAACCGGGGCGTGACTTTCTCGTGCAAACCAGCTGCACTTGCGTTCACAGAAAGAAAGCCTGGCCTAGCCTACCTCAGGGCTCCGGTTTCGGAATATGGCTTTAGGGCAGTTCGAGGCACCTGTCACAAAGCGACCTAAGTTATAACCTATGAAATATGTCGAAACGGCCTAGAGCTCCTACACGCTGAAACACTTCAAACCTCAAGGTCCCACAAATGATCCGTGAGTAGAAAACGGTTTTGGGGTACAGTGTACAGTAGTATATACTTTCAATACAAAACAGCCCTATAGCATAATGCTGTTAATCAGGCTTCTATATCACCTTGTACTCAGAAAGCTTACGCACCAGCGCCTTTAATGCAACAACAACTCTCCTGCGTGCCTCAGCACACCAGGGTACATGGGGTCGCGGCTCACGCCCAGGTCGGCACCCTGGCATTTTATGGCATTTTCGGATTCAGCTTAATGTAGGGGCCTTAAGAGTTAGAATCAGGCGTGGGGTCGCTTATACTGTAATATTACTGTATTTATCATAAGGAGCCCCCCAAAAAGAGTATTGGTAGCTATTTAATTTAAGCCCCTATATTACGCTCACCCATCACCAGTAAGCCCTCGTATGCAGAGAAACTTCGGGCTGAAGTGTCAAGGAGGAACATTGGGGACGCATTATCTTTGCACAGAGATCCCTGCCCAAGCGGGAACCGTAGATCCTAAACTCTAAGCCCTACCGGCCTACCCGCTGGGGGGCTTCATTTAACGGAGAAATCTGTGTCTTGAGGATATAAGGGTACTTGGATGACACACGTGGCAAACAGAGTCAAACGTAGGACTGTTAGTTGCCTTTTGCTGTTTGGGCTTCGGGTTGTTGAGGGTGTAGGGTTAATTCTTAGGATGGCCCTCGACTGTGGTGGGCCCACGACAAAACCGTCTCGCTTAAGTGCTTCTGCTTCTTGAACAATCCCGGTCGTGTTGGATCGCTGTGATAGCCTCCTCCGCAAGGCCCATGCCTGGAAGTCTCCCCCCCTATACCCTAAACCTTAAACCCTATAAACCCTAAAAGCCCTAAACCTTAAGCCCTATAAACCCTAAAAGCCCTAAACCTTAAACCCTATAAACCCTAAAAGCCCTAAACCTTAAACCCTATAAACCCTAAAAGCCCTGAACCTTAAACCCTCGCTGCCCCCTGAGGCGGACTTCAAGTTCTCTGTCGCGTATGTGGGGCCTCCCTTTGGGGTAGCAAGGCTAGGAGCTATCAGGGTTTAGGGTTTAGGGCTTAGGGTTTATAGGGTTTAGGGTTTAGGGCTTAGGGTTTATAGGGTTTAGGGTTTAGGGTTATTATTCCAACGGCGCTGTCAGCAACTGAGTAGGCGCCTCTTGTAGGGCCCCTGCGGGATTTTTTCACTCTACCTATCTTGAACTACACGACATGTCGTGGAGCTACTGCAGAAACATCAACATCACCAGCACCATTATCATCGTCGCTATACTATTGACATACTATCAAGACATCTCGTCGGAGGCTCAGGCATTAAGTCTAGATCGAGACCCGACAGGGCGCATTTTCGGGAAGCCTCCAAAGACTACCCGGTGTGCAGGGCCCGTGATGTATCTTGAGGCGACCTCCAAAGTCGTCGTTACAGAACATGCTGCGGGGCCTCTCTGGATTCGTCTCCTTGAATTCAGGAAGTGTTGAGCTGCATCGGTATAGAGATCTAGATCCTTCACAAGCTTGGAAACTGACGAGAAACCATAGCTATAGATATCCATAACACGGAATTACCGTATACCCTGTATATATGAACATCCTACAGGTCGAAAACGAAAAACACAAACATGCAGACACCATCCAGGAACCCATGCACGCAAGTGGAGGCACAGATTCTGCCCTCCCGGCGCCTGGTGTGCAGCAAGCCGCCTTGGGTCGGGGCTTTTGCCCCGCAGGCGACGCAGGCGCGGCGGGTCCTGCTTCTTGTTGTGCTTATCTTGGCGTGGTGTAAAAAGGCAATGTAAAGGTATCCACCTGGGAGATAGGAAGGGCCTGTTTCTGTAGGGAATGACGTCGTTTGGCAGTGCTTGCTTCAGCTCATCTTCGGCGAGACTCACAAGTGCTTTATATAAGGGCCCTGATAATTGGAATAGGGTATACTATATTGTAATAATAATAAGGAACCCAAACATAGTATTGGTAATGATTTAGGCCC